ACAGATTTCGGACTTTGCCATCCAGCAATACGATAGATTTATCATATTGCTACAAAAGGAACTCATCAGCCATAAAGCAACGAAAGGTTACCCCACAAGGAACGCAACAACCCGGTCCTTATAGAAAGAACTCGGGAATCTCATAAACAGCCGGGACATCAGCAGAATAAAGAATGACAACTCAGAAGACAAGATTCTTTCCATCATAAATGGTTTCAAAAAATAGAAGATTACACATCTTACAGGACCCAACGAACTCGGTACTACGACAAGCAAGGTAGCAAAGAGGAACCCGAACACAGCTAGGCTTTGGAACGACTGCGTGTTCCAAATTGCTACTCGGTAGAACAAACCGCACTCGGCTACACTGTTTTCTTCAAAGGACGGACGCAGTGCATCCAAGGCGGAAATCAGCAGCACGGCAGGACAACATAGACCAGGGGAAGCCGGCAAACATCTATCTACCCAAGTCCGATGTGATGCTGGATATGGTGTTGATCTGCACCGGACAGTCTCAGGGCAAGCGGCGAGGATCAACCCAGGCTCGCTGGATGAAGGGCGTATCCCACATCACAAGACTTCCTCCAACTACCGCCACGCATTTTACGGTACAATGCCACTGTGGGATTAGTCTACCTCTATCCCTATCACAAGACTCCCTCTAGCTACGACAAGATACACAAGAACTACAAAATACGCCCGGGGGCTGCTTTACTTCACAAACTACCATATTCATGACTACGAAGATTTCAGACCATGCAACAAAATGCTCGATGAATCAAAATAGCACACAAGAAGGATATTTATAGACCAAAAAGCGGTGCACATGGACCGGAGCACCAACGGAACAAACCTAACAAAGAACATAGTGAAAAGACAGAATTCAATGAAAGGGGACTCAAAGCGTGAAGGAGCGATTACTAAAAAAACGCATATATTCGGAAGAATATACCAACAACTGTACAACCTCGTGAACAAACATCATTTACTATTAACCACCACCATACAACTACATCGACAACAAATGAGACTACCGAGAGAACATGCCAAGATCTTGTATCCGAGTTCTTTTCGGATAAAAGAACCTGTGTATATGCTCGGGGGCTGCAATAAGAAAGGCTTTCATCCTTTGAACAACTCAGATTCAAGGCAGGCTGCTGCAATGAAGAGGTTTTAGTAACTTGAACAACTTCAGAATCAAGACCCTCCAACTCTTTGTTCCAAATAGCAAGAGGCTCAAGGCTACACTCGGTGAGTGCACTTTTTCTTCGAAAATCGCACATCACTCGGAAGACTTCTTCAAGACAGCAGTTTTCAAACAACATAAGATTCAAGACCCTTCAACTTTTTATTCCAAATAGCAAGAGGCTCAGGGGCTACACTCAGTGAGTGCACTTTTTTCTTCTTCAAAAAGAGCACGTCACCAGAAAGACTTCTTCAAGACAGACCACTTCAAGACCTAATGACAAAAAGAACCCGGACCTAGCTATATCCGAGCTCTTTTTGATAAAGAACCCGGATATATGCTCAGGAGCCCTTCGACGAAGCATCAGAGCGATTCCAAGAAGACCCTCCAGCTCCTTGTGCCAAATAGCAAGAGGCTCGGGGGCTAGACCCAAATGGGAGTACTTTTTTCTTCAAAAAGATACACACCACGCGAAGATCTCACGAAGCGCTACATGGTTTCGCCCAAGAAAGCACTCGAACGACGCTTGTTCCTGCTCGGCAAGACCTGAAGGAACAAGACGAGGCTTCCAGAGCTCAACCATGAAGTGCTCGGGGGCTTGTCGGTGTGGGACCCATGGGATACCCCACAAAGAAGGAAGAAGATCTAGTCTAAACTAGGATTTTCCTATGTAATCCTAGTAGTAGTATTATTCTATAATCCTACTAGAAACCATCAATTGTAAACCGACTAGGATTCTGACCTCATGATATATAAAGGAGGGCAGAGTTCCTAGAGAAGGGACTTTACGACACAACACTTGACAATCAATCCAACGCAAAGGCTAACGCCGACTGGACGTAGGGCTATTACTCGATCAACGATCGATGGTACGAACCAGATAAATCATTTGTCTCTTGCGTTTATCGTCGAGTTCGTGATCTGTTGAAGCTTCGAACAAACCGCCGGGTACCCCGTGGCGAGGCTATCGATGGTGAAACATCGACATGTGCCTAATAACGAGGCTTTACGCCCGCCATCAATGAAGCTCGAGCACTCATTTTCTTTTTCTATTCCTTATAGCTTACTCGGTACTCCTGTATCTTGAGGGAGACATGGCGTGGACCCTTGTTGATCGATCACATCACAAGCTATTAGATTGGGCGAACTTTCTCGCTTACTCATCTCGGTTTAAGAAATACCTTTGCTTACCTCTGTTTGCGATTTAGAATGATTTTCGGGCTTTGTATTATGTTGTGATCAATTGACTCAAAGATAGCAAATCAAAGAAAAATATTGAATAGGTGAAATCCACGGTTGGTGAAGAGGTGCCTTGGAAGCACCTTTGCTAAACTACATACTCACTCCATTCCACAACAAAAAAACATTTTAGAAAACGAGCGGGCACGGTATCCCGGTTTTTGGCCTAGCCAAGCACGGCCTGGCTCGGTTGTCACTTGTCAGCATGCCTTTCAGCCCGATAACTAGGGCCATGCTTAGGCCGTGACCCAAGCATGTCCTAGCCCAGTCGTCAGCGTGCCCAAGCTAGTTCGGCCCGATAGCTAGGGCCATGCTTGGACTGTGACCCAATCACGACGCGCGACCTGGCCCGGTATCTAAAGGAAGGCCCGATGGAGGCCCACTCCAATTTATAAATCCCTCTCACAGGTAGACTAACCCTAACTTATTTCTCTTAACCCGCGCCTCCAGCCGCCATTCTCTCCTCTCGCGATCCATTTGCACCGTGCGGCGGCTTTGCCTTCTTCCTCAGCATCTTGTGAGACACCTGCCTCCCCTCACGACAGCGTCGACACTGCGTGGCGCCTTGAGACACCCCTCCCTCCCTTCTCTCATCGTCGTCGGTCCTGTCCCAAAGACCGAAGATCCCAAGCACCGCCGTCCCCATAGCCATGGTCCCCGAGTGTCGCTACTCGCCATCCCTGAGGCTGGAGATCCCAAACCCCACCGCCACCAGCCAAACCCCTGAGCGCCACCGCTCCTGTCTCGGAGGCCAGAGATCTTGAGCACCGCCGCTCCTGTCCCGAAGGCATGAGATCCCAAGCACCGCTGCCCCTAGCCCCAGTCCCCATGTGCTGTCGCTCCCGTCCCGGAGGTCGGAGATCCCGAGTGCAACTACTCCCGTCCTGGGAGGCCAGAGACCCATAGCACTGACGCCCCCCCCTCGAGCGCCACCGCTCCTGTCCTAGAGGGCGGAGACCCCGAGCGCCACAGGTCCCATACCGAAGGCTAGAGATCCCAAGTGCCTCTCTATCCTATCGGTCACTTGCTCCAACCGTGGGCTAGCCCAACCTTCTTGGGAGTGTCGTGCTTCCCAAGTTGGCTAGTCCGAAAAATAGCTCAGTGTCGTGCTTGGGTCGAATGCCTAGCCCGTGACCCTAAGAGGCACGGCCCGAGCGACACGGCTTGTCGTGCTTGGATCGGTCACTACAGGCTGTGCCTAGCTCAGGCCCGGACATTTGGCCATCTATATTGACATGCTCATAAAGGATCTGCTTTCTCACAGCAACAACCAGTGAGGGACTAAGGGAAAGGATAAGCCTCCTCCCACACCATTAGTTTTTTTCATTTTTTTTATTTCTATATATATTTTGGACCATAGCGAGATGATGGATGGACCAGTGATGTACTTGGTATAGGGTGGAATCCACACTTTAGAATAAAATATTACTGTTCTTTTGAGACACATTTCAAATGCTATCATGTCATTTATTGTGGGACGGATGAAGTAGTCCTAATAAGTGTTGGAATATGCTACGACGAACTAGTTTTTTTCTGAACCAGTTTGTTTTCCCAACCTTGATCAAATCTGTAATGGAAGCATCAATAAGTGATTTACATCCGATCCAACCCCATGCACCTTGGACGCTCAGGCAAAACCATGCCAGTGGAAAAAAACAATAGGAACTTTGCAATACTTTGGAAGATGAACAAGTTTAGAACTGGTTGAATTGACATGAGGTTTGGTGCAGTTATGTGACAGATCTTACTCATCTAAAATAAAACTATATGGTTGTTACTTAATCCATGGAACAAACATCAACCCACTCATCTGACACGTTGAAAGAATATCAACCGCCAATACCAGCCATACTGGATCTAAAAGCCCGGATACACGTTCGGCCATTGTGAGATGCCGAGATTTAAATCCAACAAGACAGTAACACAAAGACACAAACAAGAACTCGATTGTCCCTCCAATTGCATTGCCTTTGCAATTGGATGATTAGAACACCAAAGCACCCATTTTATTTATTTATTTTTATTTTATTTTTGTCGTCAAGGCTCAAGGGGTAAAGACGGTATTAATGAAAAATCCTTATTTATTTATTTTTGTTAAGAAAAAGAAAGAGCTCATAATGAAAAAACCCGCGGGAGGCCAAGCAGCCAATTCCGACTCTTCTTCTTCTTCCAGCTCACAACAGGTTGGCGCGTGAGGGATACGCGACTCATCTTCCCAAAACCGACTCGTCTTCCCAGGCAATAAAACCCCAGCGCGTCGGCGTCGCCTCCACCCCGCCTCCCAGAACAAGAACAATCGATCCCCAAAGTTTTCGATTCCTGCTATCTTGATCTCGATCTCCCGACCACAGCTCCTCGCGCGGTTCGCGATCTCGACCCGGCGGCTCCCTCGATCGATTCCGGCGAGGCCGCAGGTGCTCCTCCCTCCTCGCCCGATGTCCGCAGGTGCTCCTCCCTCCTCGCTCGATCCCCGCTCCTCTCGACTCGTCGCCCCTTCGGCTCCTGTTGAGATGCCGAGCCCACCTCCGGCCCCACCCGCGGCGGCGGAGGATAAGAAGCGTTCCTCTCGCCGCCGATGAAGGTGAAGCTGCTTTTTCCGTACGCCGTGTCCTGCGTGTTCGGCGGCATGGGCCGCGCCTGGGGCATGGCTATGGTCGGGCTCCACATTATGATCTGCATCGTCAAGGTCATCTCCTTCACTACTGACCCCGAGGAGGCCCGCTTCTGGATACCGATCTTCCGCGTCTGGGTGTACCTCTGCATCGCCGCCACGGTGGTCATGACGTGCGTGTGCATCGTCTGCTACATGCCCGTGTATGGGGTGTACGCCATGAGGTACGATCCGCCGCCGCCGCAGCCGGCAGCGGCTGCGGCGGTGCAGCTCCCACCTCCCCCCTCCAGAGATGGACATGTGCTAGGTTTGGTCTGTGCGTGCGGTATGTGTTTCGTTGCTTGCCCCAGGTGCGTTCTCTAACCTGTTCTTCAAGTCTCTGTTTTAGTTGCTTACTTATAGGTGTTGCTGCCCACCTTGCTCAAGGTACATTCCTTCCCCTTCCCGGCCCTATCTTTGGTTCAGCACTTTTATTGTCGTATTGCTTAATTATGCAGCTACAAGTATCTGAAATCTGAAATATTTTGTTTTCAAAACTGAAAATATCTGGATTTTAGGTTCCATATATAGTATAGTTGTCTGCGACCCATATGGTTTGGTGCAGATTTCTTTGTTTGTGCTAGACAAATCTGTTTTCAAATTGTTTAGGCACCACTAAAAATTGGAAGATGCTTCAGGTCCTTCTAGCTATTAATTGGTATGTTTTTCAAGGCTATGCTCAATCTATCTTTTATAGAACAATGAATCCACAATGTGATGATACTTCTGTAGTTGCATTGTGGGAGCACTTCAGTGGCTAGAAATTTGTTAGTTATTGTCCTAGTATGTTTTTCCTCGTTTCTTACTTTCTGTATTTTTTGTTATTTGTGATAAACAGGCTTGGTGATGAAAAGATCAATGGAAGGACCAGTGTGCTGAAAAGATTTTGCTTTCTCTTGCCCCACCTGCCGAAGCATAGATAGAGGACAGATGGTGGCAAACATCAGTGAAAGCACATCACTTGACGGCCCGAGCTTAACGTGACCATCACAGAAAAGTGGAGGAAAAGAGCAACCTGTTGAGTGCATGGTAACAAAAATGCCAGCGCACTGAATAAGGATAGAACACAACAAGTGGAGCAGGAAAATACTGCAAACCAAGTGGGAGAAGACCCAAGTTCGAAGTTTTTAACTGCAATAGTTATTACTTTTGTGCAGCTTGAAGTTTCTCATTTGCAGTAGCTACTTTTTATTTCATAGTTTGTTCAGTATCTTTAGGAAAGATTGAAGAAGATATGGTGTATAGTTCAAAATAGTTGTTTAGACTGCTTGTTTCAATTTTGTTCATTCAGAAGGTGCTTTTATGTCTCTATAAAAGAATTTCTAGTTGCCATTTGTCTGACCTGGAGTAGTGTTAGAAATAAATTTGTTTGAGTTCTTAATAATTTATCACTTTCTCTAGTTCTACTTGGGTTTCTTTTGTTTCCTGTGGTGTTTCTGCTGGGTTTTTATCACTCCTGGTGACCCAAGTGTGACCTCTGTAGTATATGCACAAAAATAGCAGCAGTGTTGAAAAGGGTCTGAAAATTTTGTAAAGAATGGCGCAGAACAAAGATTTCTATAATAGTTTATTTATGCTATTTTAGTATCTGACTGTACTATGAAAATGGGACAATAGGCAACTAGCATCTAGTACTTCCATTGCATGCTGATTGGGAAGTCTAATTGAATTGTGATGACTGCCTAGTCTTGGGTCTCACACATAGGCGATTTGCGGCATATGCGAATGGCTATGTGATCCCTTTCTGCAAAATGGAACAGCTAAGGATTTTATTTTCCCTTTTTGTGCGCATAAAAAATGGAATGAACTGACTAATACAATTGTACTGTGACACTAATTTTGTTTTATGTTTTGGAATCAGCTAGTCACTTGATATATGTCAAAACTGTTAATCTGGTAGTATTTTCTTGTTAGTGACGTTGATAGCTAATCTAACATTTCGTTTGTTTGACCTTTTGAATTATTATTTTGCAAACCTTCAGGTCTGGGGACAAAGATAATGCTAGATATCGTCTAGTTGGTGGCATTGAGCATTGCAGGGGAGGACCCTAACAGGGGGGGGCACTTTGTTGCTTATGTGAGAGGAAGCAGGATTGTCCTTGAGCAGGAGACGAGCAATAGCTCTTCCGCTTGGTTTCGTGCTAATGATAAAAGCATCAGAGAAGTGTCTCTAGACGAAGTTCTCAAGTGCGACGCTTTCCTTCTTTTCTATGAGAGAAGATAGAAGCTTGAGACATGCATCATATTATGCCCAAGTAATAAAATGAGCAATCAAATGGCATTGGCAAGCATGATTTGCTGAGGATCCATTCAGTGCACTCAGTCCATACATGTACTGCTTTTTGCTGAGGCAGTCCAAGCCGGATGTAAGCTTACAACCCGCTTCTCTCCTTTCTCTTCTCTCTCTCCTCCACCTCAAAGCATTCAGCCATCTATTATACTTGCTCTTAGCACCTTGTAGGACAAAAATCATTAGCATGACAGCCTGGTAGAAGTGATTAGATAATTGACGTGCGTTATTCGGAAGCAAAGCGTCGTCCGCTTTAATCACCCCTGTTAGGTTGGTTGGGGCTAGGCTGGTTGGGGCTGGAGTGGGCTGATCCTGTTCGCTGGTTGGTTCATGGCTGATTTGAATTCAATAGGCCCATTCAAAATATGGCGCCAACAGCCTAGATTTCACTACACATTTGGTGCCAATGAACAGTAAAATGAACCGACAAGGCATACATTTCATATACAAGATGACACCCAGGTGTCAATATACAGTCCTGGCGCGAGATATAGCACAGAGAAGCATATTCCGTGGAAAAAATTTGTATCTAACACAAGCACAATAGGGCACATATGAAATTCACTTAATAATACAAGCTACATGATGGAACTACCAAACAAAAAAAACAAAACAAAACAAGAGAGCAGCACAAGAAAGGCTTTGTAACAAGCACTAGGGAGGTTGTGGCATACCCTCTCGTGCACTCCTTCCAACACAGTACTCTACAACACATGGATTATACCTGTACCCCAAAGTACAAGCAACATTGGCTTACCAGTAATAAAGAAAGAGACAATTGTCAAATTCCTATCCATTTGCAATTGTAATAATCAACTTGCCACTAGCACCATTGGCTTACCTGCACCCAAATATGTCGGTCCATGGGTAATCCACATCCTCACATTGTCCATGGAATCATTTGCACTTGTAGTAAGCCACCGCACCGATATAGTGGGCTTAGTGGATGGAGGGCTTAGTTACTTCATTTTTCAAGTAGTTATTGATGTAGACAAGGCCCAATCTTCCGAAAGGTATGATAACGTCGATTGGTGGAAACTCGGCGTTCACGATCTAGGCTTTGAACCAAGACTGATTCGGACCCCATAATCTGTATACACCACCGCTCCGTTGGTTATCAACCACGCGAACACGATTGACCCTCGCCGAGAAGGCTTTCCTACAAGCGATTCGAGAACTCAAGCAAGAACGGGACGAACGCAACCTGAAATTGCAAATAGACATGAGGCTTATGAAAACAAGGAGGAGTTCAAGTCTTTATTGAAAGGACTAATCACCACAGCAAACAAGATCAAGAACTAGGGCCCTGGTTCACAGACAAGCGACCTTGGCGGCATAGTTGCAAACAAAATGACGTATATTTCACGAGAAGATCAAGAACTAAACAAAACCCAAATCCTAAGGAGAGCGGCGGCTGCTAATTATAAAGTCATGGGCGTCACCCCGCTGGATGCCCCTAATGGGCCCAAACACGATACACGGTCCAACGGACAAAAGACGGTGTCACAAAGACACCACGATTCTGGACACTGACTTGTTTCGACAATTCCGTTGATTCCAAAGGGCTTTTAACGTGAGACCACTTGCATTGGCTTTCTTATCTAATTAGCTTTCCATCCATAACGTGGATCGTAAAAAACGGAGCTCGAACGACGGCGCTGTGTGACCAGTTTTATGACAGACTGGTCCCGGAACCCGAGATGGGCTCGAACTTTATTTGGGCCTCCGCCTTGGTGACTCGAACTGGATGAGCTTGGGCCTCCTTCTCAGTTAGGACAATCTCGCTGATCTCCTCGGCCTCTATCTCCAAGCAAGGTCATATGCATGGAGCTAATGTCCTTACCATCCTCCCTTTCTTGATGAAAAGCTGTCCTCGGGCGTCGATTGTGCTTGAAACTGATCCTACACAACACAAAGGAGAACGGGGTTACGTAAGACAAAGGGACCTGAAATAATTGTGAGAAGGAACATGACCATGTTTCCAAGTTTCTAGCGTGTCATCTCGCATAAAAATTTCAGCAAGCATAGGGACTCCATGATCCGAATGCACACGATGTATGTCAACACTATCCTGCAAAAGATTAGAACTAACCAAAGACAGTGCAGGAATAGATGGTCTAGCAGACATAGGTAGCAACCAACAATGGTCCCCTTCTTGGAAGTGAACTTATTTCTTTGAGGAACATGAGAAAATGTTTGTATTATTATAGCTGCCCTCTAAACAATCATAATCTTGTACAACAAAAGGAGAATTCATATTAAACTAACGTATACTCGATGTATCATATATTGTCCTTTGTTGTTATATTTGCCAATAACATGATATGTGTGTTTAGAAAACCAAGGCAAATCAACATATTTAAAAAAGGCTCTCCTCCAAACAATCTAGGTTATACAAAACATCAAATTCAATGTAACCCAAAGTATGTAAAGAAGACAACAGTTTGAGCTCATCAGGTTTTAGTAGTAATATGAATAACATGTTTATTTTTAGCACAAGTGATTGGTTCAAAAAACATGTAAAACTAAAGCATCATCAACCAATTCATCTTTATCACAAGGAACATCAAGCAAATTATCATGGGACAAAGATAAAGTCAAGAGAGGGTTCCACTAACAATTGCTCTATGATAGCATGGTTTGTGGAAAAATTTAGTACATTAAAATAATTCTCACCTTCCGTTTAGTGTAGCACCATGGGCATTACCTATGTTCTCAGCAGGAGTAATAGGTGCATTGTGAAGTAATGGTTCGAATTTGCATATGAGGTTGTGAGCTCCTCATTTTCTTCCATGTCATCCTCCTCGCTTATGTACATTATCCTGCGAGAAGGTTAGTCATAGCAAGAGGAATAACAAATGACTCTTCCTCTAAATGGTGCACCTCATCATATGAAGTCAAAACAGGGAGGTGGATTAACAAAGGTTTCTCGCATAAAGAGTTTCATATCATTCCAAGTTTGAGGTTTATCGGAAGGATCTAAAGACTCCCACCAAGATAAAGCGAGAATATCATAAAAAACACTAGTTTGCATTTTTACCTTCCTCCTTGGACAAATAAAGCGAGTAGCAAATATGTTGTATATGGCAATTTCCCACTCCATATACTCAACAAGACCTATACCATCATAAGTCGGTGAATCTGAACAACCTGTCATTGTTAGAAGACAACAAAAGACAACACAAAAGTATTATCCCTATCAACTAGCAACTCTTTGGGTGGTGGTGAAAGTGGAAAGCAATATCTCAAACGGCTTACCACCATCTTGCAAGTGTTCTTACTAAAGCCAACAAAGGTGCAATCAATCGGTGATCTGTGATACCGTTGTAACTTGAGTGTAACAAATTGCAAGGCGAACCTATACTTGGTTAGAAGAAAGTGGAGCTTGGACGGAGCACAATATAGTAGCAAGGAATAGCAATATTCACTTGAACCGAATATAGCAAAGCTGAATAAGTATCCTGAGTACTTGATGTAGACAAGGCCCGATCTTTCGATAGGTACGAGAAGCGTCGATTGGTGGAGACCCAGCGTTCACGATCTAGGCTTTGAACCAAGAAGTGATTCAGACCCTCGTAATCGTTACACCTTTGCTCCATTGGTTATCAACCACACAAACGCGATTGACCTCGC